TCACCAGCCTCACTGGAGAAGTATGCAAAGCCTTTGGGGTCCCAGAAGAGCTTGTCCTGTATGTGCTGGAGCTGCAGGGCCCACTCCAGCCAGCTCTGGTCCAGGGAAGCTTCATAGAGGTCAAAGAGACCCTGGATGATGAAGACGTAATCCTCCAGGAACCCATGAATGGGAGCAGCACTGCAATGGCAGGCGGGGACAGACATCAGTGCCTGCAGCCCAGCAGGGCAGGCTGGGGGAAACCCTCCGCACTGCTGTCTGTGACCAAGGAGACACCACCTTGCTTGGCTCCCTCCCGAGCTCAGCCTGAGCTCAGCAGTGGCTGTGCCAAGGCACCATATGGGGGTAGTGCGAGTCTGCAGCAGAACAGAAAGGCTCCTACCAGCTCCAGAGACAAGAAATGGAAAAGATTTGGGCTGAGTGACACTTCTTGCACCACCGCTCACCTCTGCTCCACCACATCGGCCTCGCCACGGTAGCAGCTCCGCAGCAGCCTGCCGCTGCCTGGCTCCAGGAGGTGCCTGCGCACAAAGCCAGCCGCCTGCGCTGCCCGGCTCACGTACTCCTGCTTGGCCAGCACTGCTCCAGCCTGGGCAAAGCCCGAGATCATCAGTCCTGGGTGGGCACAGGGATAGCTCAGGCACAAGGGAATGGCTGGGTGTTACGCATTTTCCTCCACAGGATGCTTCACACGAAACTCGTGCTCCCTGACATTCTCACTGCAGGCCATCATCTCCTCTGCTCTCTTCCAGCCCTTCAGAAAGTCCCTCACTCAACTATGATGCAAGAGAAAGGCAGAGCACTGAAGGCACAGCAAAATTTCAGCCTTTGCCTGTGGGCACAAGCTGTGAGACTTGGCTCTGCACCGTACTTCCAGCTCAGGCTGCAAGCACATCCCACAGGGACAGGAACAGCACCCCATTCCGATATGTGGTGGGCACAGACCTCAGCCCCATCCCTCCCAGTCCTGCCAAGCAGGCTACGCCAGGGAAGAGTTTTGCTGCTCTCTACTGGCAAAAAGAAAATAAAAAAACCCAACAGCAATATCTCACACCAGCAGCAGCTGCACAGATGGCAGTAGATCCGCTCACCATTCCACGAGGCCAGCATCTTGGTGTCCAGGTGGGGCCGTGGGCGCTGTGCCCTGGCTGCCTGCAGCCTGTGCCTGCCTTCCTGCAGCGCAGCGCTCAGCTGCCCCGGCTGCAGCCCAAAGCGTGCGGCTGTCAGCTCTGGGGAGGAACGGACAATGAGGACGTTCTTGCCCTGCAGCTCCTTATGGGGGTCCTGCAAGGAGAGCTCTGCTCTAGGAACACCGCCCGGCCCCGCACGGCTTGGACCCACGTGCCTCAGGTGCAGCAACGCTCCCCGCGCCACTCCTCACCTTTCTGGGGCTCACGTTGCCGTCCTCCTTCACCCCGTAGTGGTGCATGAAGACATCTCCCAGGGTTGTCCCCTCTGCAGCCCCCTCCACCGGGTCAGGGAGCAGAGCCCGGACCTCCTCGGCTGCCCACACGCAGAAAGCTCCCTCCCGCTTCTTGCTGGAGGCGGCCGTCGGGTAGGAATCTGCATCCTCTGCACTGTAAAAGCCTCCGGTCTGGGGAGGAAACAGCAGAGATGTCCGGCTGTGGGCACAGCCCTGCAGCACAGCACTGCATCCCAGGCAGGGTAAGGAAGTGACTCCCCTGCCTGGCCCCGCTCGGGGAACACACCTGGCTGCCCAGGTCCCGCGAGGCGTACAGCAGGATGTCAGCAGCAACGTCGGCAAAGAACTCATCACCAGAGATCTGCAGGAGAGACGAGGCGGTGATCGCTCTGCTGCGTTACGACGGGCAGGGGGGAGAGAGACAGCAAGAAGTAATGGGACACGTAAAGAGCTACAAGGGGGAGAAGTGCTGTGCAAGGATTTTAAACACAAGGCAGATTTAGAGCCTCAAGGGCTAATATCACAGATCCGTACAGCACTCCTGCCTGCACAAGAAACACTACGGATGGGGAATAGGGGAGTGCTCTGTGCCCACCGATGGGCAGCCCGAGCCCTGCGGGAGCCCACAGCCACACCTGGAAGGCTCTGCTGTACACAACTGCCAGCTGCCCCTGGTCGTACAGCATCTTCTCAAAGTGCGGGACGTGCCAGTGCCGGTCAGTGGAGTAGCGATGGAAGCCCTGTGAGGAACACACAGATGTCACCATCGTGCTCTACCTGCACAGTGCTGCGGTTTAACCCCAGGGCACTCCTCCTACCTGACCAATGTGATCGTGAATGCCCCCATGCGCCATCATCTTGAGAGTGTGCAGAGACATCTGCAGTGCACGGGCCCCTTCTGGGGTTGTTCTGTGCAGAGCCCAGTAGGTGAAGAGGAAATTCAAATTCACTGAAAGACAGGGACAGGCTGCGGAGTGAGCTCTGTGCACCGGCCAGGCTCAGCCACAGGGACCACACTGACCTGGTGTGGGGAACTTGGGGCACTGTGAGAAGCCGCCATACTCCTCGTCGTAGGAGCCGGAGAGCTGCTGGAAGCAGGTGGTCAGCACCTCCTGGGCGGGGGGGGCTGCCTGCTGCTCCTGTGTGCCAACCCGGGACAGGGAGTGCAGCGCTTCCAGGATCCTCTGGCTGCTCTGCAGCAGGGCCTCCTGGTTCTGCCTCCACTGAGTGGCGGTGAGAAAATCAGTGCTTCCTCTTCTTGCCTTTTTTCTGCCTCCCAACCCAACCCTCGCCTACACTTCTCAGTGCCCTCCCCCTGAGCAGCGCATCCCCACCCCCACCCCCATCCCACCCCCACTCCTTCAGCCGCTGCTTCCCATGGCTGCTCCTCACCAGCACAACCCCAATCCTGAGCACTGCCCCCAGCTGCCCGCCCTACCTGCTCTGCGATGCGGAGCAGCACAGTCCGGAAGCCCACATGATGAGCGCTGTCCTCAGGGGGGAAATACGTGCCCCCAACGAAGGGCTTGAGGTCCGGAGTCAGCCAGACGCTCATCGGCCACCCCCCTCCACCGCTGGTGGCCTGGGGGACACAGGGCACAAGGATCTCACGGGGGGCTCCTCGGGAACACGAAAACGAACCTCGAGAGGGAAGGGCAGAGCGTGCCCCAGCCCCGCCGCGCCTCCCCCACCTGCACGAAGGTCATGTACACCTTGTCCACGTCCGGCCGCTCCTCACGATCCACCTTGATGCACACAAAGTTCTTGCTCATGATCTCACCGATCTCCTGGTTCTTGAAGGACTCCTCCTCCATCACATGGCACCAGTGGCAGGTGGAATACCCGACTGAAAGCAAGCGCAGCACGCAGGGTGAGGCCACGGAGCCACGGAGCAGCCCGACCTGGGATGGGCGCACAGGGACCGTCGTGGCCCACACTGCATCACCCACCCCATCCCACCCCTCTGCCTGACAGCGGAGCCCCAGCGCTCCCACAGCTCCTGCTGTGCCCACCGCCCTCTGGGGCACAGCCTTTCCCAGCCCCACCCCCCGGCACAGCTCTGTGCCATACAGAGTGGAGGAGCAGCACAGAAGCATCTCTCTGGCTCGCCTCCTGCTCTGCACTCCTCGGCTCTCCCAGGACAAGGGCTTTGGTGACCACGATGGCCCCTGAGCGCAGCCCGCCTTCCAACAGCGCTGTTACAGCTCTCAGTGGGAAGGAAGCAGCGTTGGGCAGACTCACCCACAGCTCATGTACCCACTGACACACACAGTGGGACACAAGGCACACCAGGCTGCCGGTTACCTGACAGGAAGATCGGCTTGTTTTCCTGCTTCGCTTTATCAAAGGCTTCCTGACCCCACGGGTACCTGCAGAGGATGAGGAGCAGCCCGTGGGGCTCAGCTGCCATCAGGGCCCAGTCTGGAGCTGCACATCAGGCAGCAGCCTCCTGGTGTCAGCCCCACTAGGGGAGGATGAGGAGGAAGGGCACGGCGTGCTCTCACCAGTCCACGGGGTTGCAGGCGTGCTGCTGCAGGTATGGGGACTTCTCGTAGATGAGCCGGTTGGCGGGGCGGGCCGGGCTGCTCCTCCCGGCCGTGGCCATGGCCATGCTGCCCGCTAGGAACACCGGCCTGCAGCACGGGATGTGCTCGTTAGCTGGCTCGTTAGTTGGCTCGTTAATTCACTCGTTAATTCACTTTTTTGCCCATGGGGAGAGCCCGATGTGGGGTGCTGTGTCCCCAGCACGCTGCACAACCACAGCCCTAGGTGAACCAGTGAAACCCCTCCTGGGCTCTGCCCCAACACTGGGAGGGGGACAAGGAGATCCTCCTGGTGCAGGGGACAGAGGGAGGGGTTCACGGATATGGGGGAGCAGCAAGGGGTGCAGGAAGGGCACGTGGTGGGAACACAGTCATGAAAGAGAGAATATAGGAGAGATGCGAAGGGGGTGCAAGGGGAAGGTGCAGGGGGGAGGGAGGCAGGAGGGGATACAAGCAGGATTTAGGGGGATGCAAGGGAGGACACGGAGGATTTACGGGCGTGCAGAGGGTACAGAGAGGATTCGGGGAACGAAGGAGGCACACGGAGAAAACGGACGACGCAGGGGATCGCGGGGAGGATAGGAGGAGGCGCAGGGAGCACTTCAGGGCACGCAGAAGGGATGCAGAGATCTAGGGAGGGCTCAAGAGAACGCAGGGAATACGGGGAGGGCACGGGGAGGATTCGGGGGATGCGGAAGGGGGGGAGGGAGTTTCCAGAGCAGCGCACTGGAAGCGGGCAGCACGCCGGCACGCAGAAGGGGCGCACGGGGCGGCAGGCAGGGCGCTGCAGGGTGCGGGGCCGGCAGTGCACGCTGTGCCGCAGCGCTCCCCCCGCCCGGCCGCTCCCGGGGCCGCCCCCCGCCCCCCCGTACCTGCGGGCTCTGCGCAGCGGCACCGCGAACATGGCGGCGGGGGGAGGGGCGGAGCCGGGCACCGCACTGCGCTCCCGGGGCCGCCCCCGAGCCGAGCCGAGCCGAGCCGAGCCCGCCCCGCGGGGGGCGGAGAACAGCCCGATAAGGAGGCGGCAGGCTGTGTCCGTTCCAGTACTTTATTGTGGCGGTCAGTTCGCGGTTCCCGAATGCCGGGACGGCCGCGGCGGTTCCGGACGCGGAGTCACCCCGCGTGGAGCAGCGCTGCCGGCTGCACGCGCTGAAGCACAACGCAACGCCCGCCCCCCCGAGCGGCGCTGCCCGCGGCACCGAGCGCTGCTCCCGGTGCCCCCCGTAGGGCGGAGCGCCCGGCCCGGGCTCTGCGCGGGATCCGGGGGCGCGGGGGACTGCGAAGGGCTCGCAGCTGGGGCTGACCCGGGCTGGAGAGCGGGGACACGGTGCCCAAGCGGAGTAACATCCAGAGCGGGGAGAGGGCAGCACGTTAAGGGAACGGGGCGTTTCCAGGGCAGAGGAGCGAAGAGGAGGCAGCCGTCCGTCCGTCCGCCCCAGGGCTGCCGCCCCCCGCCCCGCGGGGCCGTTCCCGGCCGCGCACCGAGGCGCTGCGCGCAGAGCGGACGGTGCCGGAGCCCGCGGACCCCTCCGGGCGCGGTTCCTGCGGGCGGTTCGCGCTGCCTGCCGTCCCCGGCGGAGCGCGCGGGGAGGGAGCGGCGGGGGAACGGCCGGGAAGGGGCGAGAGCCCGCCCGCGGTGCCGGCCCGCAGCCCTCAGAGGAAGGGGTTGAGCCCTCCCTGGGGGGCCGGGGGGCCGCTCAGCGGCAGCAGGGGCTGCGGCAAAGCGCCGGGCAGCTCGGGGAACGGCCCGGCCCCCGCCTGCGGGAAGGCACTGGCGGAGGCGGGCAGGGCGGCGGGGACGCTGCTGAGCGGCAGCGGCAGAGATGCGCTGTAGGTCATGGCGTTGGCGGGCAGGGCGGCGGGCAGGCCGGGCACCGGGGAGCCGGTCCGCATCTGGTTGAGCGTGGGTTTGGGCTGCTCGGCCAGGCTGAAGGGGTTGGTGGGGGACGGCGTGCTGAGGCCTGCGAGAAGACACGGGGAGCGTCAGGACGGCCGCCGCGCCCCGATCCCACCGCCATCCCACCCCGCGGCTCAGCCCGGCACCCACCCGACAGGAAGGGGTTGCGCGTCTTGGCGGCCTGCGGCGGTGCCACCAGCGAGTCCAGGTTGACCAGCGAGGAGGCGGCGGGGCCGAGGAAAGCCTCGGGGGTTTTACAGTCCTTCCGCTCCTTGCAGGATTCGGGAAGCGAGTCGGCCAGGTTAGCGAGGTCAAAGCTCTTGGCCGGGTCCTGCTTGGTGCCGGGGAACAGGTCGCCAAAAGGGTCCAGCTCTGCGGCGGGGGAGAGCGCTGTCAGTGGGAGCGGACCGCCGGGCACCGAAGTCATCCCCGACACCCCCGGGACTGCGGGGTGCACACAGGACAGCCTTTGGCCACACCAGCAAGGAGCCACGCACAAACGTGGGAGCAGCTCCTGGCTGGCTGTGGAAGCAGGGGCGGGGATGGAGGAACGTCACCTCCTGCCCGCGCCGCCCCGTGTCTCCGCTTACCGGCGGGGCTGCTGGACTTCACCGAGGAGGGCGGCTGCGAATGCTCCATCTCCGGCTGCTCAGTTGCCTCGGGTTGCTTTGCAAACAGGTCGAAAGCATCCCCCCCTGACGCTGGGGGGAAGAGAAGAGACTCAAGGAGAGGAGCAACGGGTGGGAGGCGCGCGGGGCTGCGGTCAGTGCACACACCAGCCCAGAGAGACCAGGATGGGCCAGAGCAGGAGCCCGGCCTTGAGTGGAAAAGACCCCCAGGAAGCACAGCCAGGAGGAAAAAAGCACGAGGTGATGGTTTGAAGACCAGTGCTTACATCCAGCTCTGGTTATGCTCTTGCCTCTTGGGACCAAAAGTCTGGGCAACTCCCCATGTGTTGTGGGCAGTGGACACAGGACTGCCACAAGGTGGGAGGAAGCAGCCGAGGAGGAAGTGAGAGCAGTACCAAGCTCAGAAACACAGATTTCTCCTATAAACAGCCCCCATCTGCAGCACCACACCTGCAGACGCCAACCGTCCTGTCTCAGGCTGTTTTAAGGGGGACAAAGCCAGTAGGTATCAACAGGGGAACATCACCCCACTGCAAGAGCACTCCTCTGGGAGAGCTTCATTAGCTGCCACGGTAATTAGAACAGCCTGACTAGCTTGCACTAGAACCAAAAGGTTCTCTGAAGTCTTCAGCACACCGAGGAGCAAGAGGAGGTCCTGCAGGAGGGCAGAACTGGCTGCAGGAGAAGGGGGGGCACCCGAGGTGTCAGGGATAGCCAGCACAATGCACAGTCCCTAGCAAAACCCCATCACCACCCAAGCTGCTTACCAGGGTTAGGCTCAGCCACAGCAGCCCAAGGGTCAGTGGTTGGCATAGCGCCGGAGCCCTGGGCCGGTGGGGAAGTGGCTGTCCAAGGGTCTGCAGCAGTGAAGCCAGATGAGGCGGCTGCCTTCCCCCATGGATCAGCAGAGGCGGGGGGAAAATCCCAGGGCCCAGCAGCAGTTTGCTGGGATGTAGTGCCTGCTTGGGGCATGGGCTCCCCACTGCTGGATAGCACTGGCACCCAGGGGTCTGCTGTGCCAGTCCAGGCTGCTGGCTCCGCTTTGGGTTTCATATCTGAAAAGAGAAGGGGAACCACAGTAAGAAAATGTTGCATATCAGGGATGCACTTGGGGACTGTGGATTCCCATCAGCGCCACCACCCAGATGTACAAAGGACAGGGCAGCGGAGGGAGGAGAAGCCAAAGGTCTTCGTTGTGGAACATTTGGAATTGGACAGGGACAGAGGAGGGGAGAGGACTGTGCTGCTGCCCCAAGCTTCAGCAGCCCCACCTGGCATATCCCATGGGTCAGCAGACGTGTGGCTGGAAGGAGCTGGTGCCGGCCCGAATATATCTGCCAGCTCCAAGATAGAGGACTGCAAATAGAAAGGGAATAAAGAAGTGAGGGGAGCCCAGGGCTGACCTGAGAGCCCAGCCCAGGGCCACAGCATCACTTAAGAGGCTGCATGTGTGGCCACCTGGGCCCCTGGTGCTTCACCTGGCTTTTCTTCATCTTATCCTCTTCCTCCTCTTCCTCCCCGCCTTGGGCAGTCTCCTCCAAGGCCCTCTGCAGCAGGGAGTTCTCCCCTTGCCATGCCCTCACCTCCTGCGGGAGGGAACAAGGGACGGGGCTGTGAGCACCAGCAGTCCCACGGCAAGAGCCTTCTCCAGGAGAGAGACCCAGCGCAGGAGCTGCCACCGCATCCCCCAAAAGTCCCAGCATCTGAGCAGAGGGCTCCTCCGGGCTGAGCGCGCCGGGAGAGCGCACAGCGAGCAGCCCCACGGCAGGGAAAGCAAAGCGAGCGCGAGAGTGCTGCCAGCAGCAGGGCTGCTGCACGAGGCAGAGAGAAGCCCAAGTGCAAGAGACGGGAGCGCCCAGGGCTGCAGGGCACGGGTACCTTCTCATGCTCCTCTTTGCTCAGCGCGAGCGCTAGCTGCAATTGCCTTTCTTCATCTGTACTGGAAATTGGAGGAAGTGGCTTCTGCCAACAGAGGAAATCGGGTGAAATTTCAGCTGGACCTCAGTTTGCCGAGCAGCTCGGTGGTCGCCATCCTCACCGCCAGCACCCTGCGGCCCCTCACCTGCCTCGCACTGCCCACAGCTCGCTGCTGAGCCCAGCACTGGGAGCCCCGAGCAGCCCGGGCTCAGGATCTGCCCCATACAAAAGCTCACAGCCAAGGCAGCTCCGGGGGAGGGTTCATCCCCGTACCACCATGGCAGCCCTGATGCGGGGTGTGCGTGTGTGCACGGCTGTACACGCGTGTGGGAATGTGCACAGCCCAGGTGGTCTCCAACAGGCAGTGCTTTCAAGAGCATGTTCCTACAGCACTCATCACAGCAGAATGTGGAAGCTATAAATACTGCATTTCCAGGACAGAAATAGGGATACACACATGCTGTTCAGTCTCCACCAGGCAGGGGAAGCGGGCAGTGCTAACTGCTGTGCCAGAAGCATGTCTCCTAGTCCAGCAGGTCTGAGGACACGGTGCTGTCTGCCCAAGGACACTGCCCACGTGTGGGGACGCCCGCTGGCAACTGCGTCCTTTGTGTGCCTGGCCGTCCCTGTGTGCTCCACACACACTGTGCCAGCCAGCGACAATCTCAGCCGGCGTGCAAATAATCTGTCCCCAAGGAAACGGGGCCACGGAGCAGATAGGAGAGGGGATGGGCCTGGAGGAGGCACTGCAGTTGAGGCCACAGCTTGTTGGCTGCCCACATCCCTGCACAGCTCCTCCTGCTCGAAAGGAGCAGCCATGGGCAGAGGCAGATCGTCCCCTGCACAAATGGCCTCTGACAAAGGTGACAGAAATGAGTGACAGGACCAGAAGCCCTTGGTGGAAGTCAGCTAGGTTTGGTGAATGAAGGGCCCACCCCGCCATCCCAGGGTCCAGGAGAAGCGCACGTGCCTGTGTCTCATCCATGGTGCTGCCTCCATGCCTGCCGTGATCGGGAGGCAGCACAGCGCGAGCAGCCCGATGCAGTTGCGGGTCAGTGCACAGGCCTTGGGCAGCCCCAAGCCACCCCTTCTCCATAATGGCCAAAGCCCCAGGTACAGGGCAGCCCCCCCCACCGCCCTACCTTCTCGGCCTCCTCCCGACTCATTGCCAGGGCGAGCTGCAGCTGCAGCTCCTCCTCACCCGTCGTCTGGGGACGCGCTTGCTCCAGGTCAGAGGCGAACCGTGGGGACGAGGAAGATGCTAGGAGAGAAAAGAAGAACAGGTGAAGAAGTGGTTCTGGGACTCTGGGGAGATCAGCCACCTGTCAGCCTCCTCCCAACCCCACCCACATCTGCAGCTCCAGAGTGTGGCCTCCCAAGGGGTCGTACCCCGGCATAAATGCTTACAACCTCAAATGAGCCATGGGTTCACGGCAGCTGAGCATCACCTCCCAGAAAGAGGGAGCACACCCAGCACAGCCTCCTCCCCACCACCCCCAGGGCAGGACTCACAGTTGAAGGAGGAGGGTGAGCCCCGCGTCCGGCCGTAGTCGTCCCCATAGGGCGATGCGCGGCGGCCGTAGGTGGACTGATGGCTGCCGCTGCCCATCCCCTCCAGGGCCATGCGCTCCTTCGTCTGCAGCGCGTGCGCCCGCTCCTGCTTCAGCCGCTCCTCGTCCTTCAGCAGCGCCATCACCTGCTTCACCTTCTCCCGGATGTTGATGCCCTGGTCCTTGCCGTCACGATCCACGTACTGGAAGTCCTTCAGCGTCTGGATGGTGTAAAGGTTCTCCCGGCACTGGTGGGTCACCTTCTCGGAGCCGGTTTTGATGAGGTAGTCCAGCAGGGTGAGGGCTTTGTACACGTGCCGCCAGTTCTTGCCGCTGTCGTTCAGCCGTCGCCAGATCATCCCCATGACCTCGGCAAAGGCCACCGTGTTGAAGGTGAGGTCCGCGATCTCCGACATCAGGGAGCTGGGGGGTCCCCAGGGGTCATTGGAGGTGGCCTCTCGCACCTTGATCTCCGCCTCTGAATAGTTATGCACGATGTTCTTCACCTGCCGGCGCAGGGCCGAGGTGGTCATCTTTGCGTGGTGCCCAGGACCCGCTGACAGCGGGCCTCACAGCAGGGATGGAACGGGCGCTCACAGCCTCACCAGTGCCTGCAGCGAGGAATGGGGGCAGCTCAGCACCACCCCAGGCACCAGAGCCCCATCCCGTAGCACCTCGGGCACTTCTCAAGGTGGAAGTGCCCATTGCCATGGTGTGAGCTGCTCTCGCTCACCAAAAGCAGGCGGGATGTCGGATGGGAAAGAATCGTACAGAAAACCAATAGCTAGCACTGCAGAGCTGCCAAGAGATTTGGCTTCAGATTCAGCAACATTTGGATGAGCTTTTACCAGGCGCTTCTGCTGCTAGAAGCACCCACCTGAAAATGGCAGCTCCCTCCTCCAGCCCCCAGCTGCCTCCAGGCCTCAGCCCCACGCAGCCCCCAGCACTCTGCCTGCAGCCCTGCTGTGGCTTCCAGGCTCCCAGTGCCACCCAGAACGCACCACACAAAGACCAACCGCATTGTGACTCTGAGCCTGCCCTGACCTACTGGCACCTGCAGCTACTCGGGTCATTTCTCCCAGCAAACGTAGCTATTTTACTCCTGGGGAGGAACCACGGGGTCACTGAGTCAGAGCATATCCTCCCCCAGTCGGCAGATAACACAAAGCCTTCTCCAAACCCCAGACTGTGTCTGAGCCCCCTCTGCACCTGGGGGGCTGCTGCTGCAACGTGGTGGCAATGCTCCCGGTGACCCACACCGGTATCCCTATCAGCAGGGCCCCCAAAGGCAGCCTGTCCTGCAGGTTGTCACCGTGCATCCCTCCCATCCCGCACCAGGAGCTGCCCCGATCCCTTCCTGCTATTAAGTGCCCGTCCTTCATGGGCCACGCAAGGAGGTTACAAAACCACATGGCTGCGCTGAGCGCGTTCCTCATGACCCCATTACAGCTCTGTTCCCTGACCCCTCAGCCGTCGGGTGGGAAAGCACCACGATCCCCATCTGATCCCTGTGATCAGCAAAGCCGACAGGCAGCGGCTGCCGGCACCGGGTGGAGCCCCGCACGCTCCAGCACCAAAACTCACCGGCATTCTGCGATAAGCTGGTGGGCCCGGGCCTATCTCGGCAGCACAGCGCGCACAGACAGCGCTGACGGGCAGCCGACAGCCGCCTCGGCTCCCAGCGCCGCCCCGCACCGCAGCCCCGGCACGCGGCTCTCCCGGCTGCCGACACCGCGGAGCCGACGGGCAGAGCCCGCGAGCCTCGCAGCCGCTCCGGCACTCCGGCAGCGCAGCCCGGCCGTCCCCGCAGTCGCACAGCCGGCTCTGCCGCTCGCGGGCGGCTGAAGTTTCTCTCCCGACGCTCCCCGTCCCGATTCCCCTCCGCAGCGCTGCCGGCACCGCGGCCTTTGGATCCGTCTCGCCTGGCACGGGAACGCTTTGGGATGAGGGCGGCGGTGCGGCAAAGTCCTCCGGGACTCCGACCCGCACCGTGCCTTCTGCCAGCGCTCGGGGACAGATAAAGCCGCGCCGCCGGCCCAGCAAAGCCCGGTGCTGCGGGGCGGGACGTCCCTCCTGCCGCCAGCAGCTCCCGGAGCCGGGCACGGCCCCAGCGCAGCGCCGCGGGATCGGGCTGGGAACCCGGTCCAGGTGGACCTGCGCGGCCTTGCTGGGAACGTTGCGTGGGGAGAGATGGAGAAGGGCTGGGGTGGGGGGAGGAGCGCGGCCCGGGCTGAAGCGCCGCACAGAACAGAAGGTTTTGTCCGGCACGGCGTTCCCCAGAATATAAAGGCAGTGAAATAGAAGCTGTGCGGGCGATAAGGCGGCAGCCGTGTGGAATTACTGCAGTGACCTTGAGCTCGGGGCTGCCCGGTGGGAGAAGGACGGCGGGACGGGTCCTCATCGCCGCGTCCCGGCACGGCGACCGCGGAGGTGAAGCGGAGGTGCGGGAACGCGGCCGGGAGCGCGCAGGAACGGGGGAAAGAGAACCGAGGGGAGAACGGGGAAAGGGCAGAGCGGGGAAGCGAGCCGGGAGGCCGGGGAACATGGCAGGGAGGAAGGGAAGGCTCGCTTAATCTTTAATCAGGTGCGGGGCTGGGAGGAGCGGCGCACGAAATGGAGGAGCGGCGAGCAGCGGCCCGGCCCCGAGCACCGGAACCCTTCGGGGACCGCAGCCGCTCCGCTGCCGGCGGGACTCGGGCAGCCGCGGGCCCGGAGCAGCGGCACCGCACCGCCCGCCTCCGCGACCCGCGGCGCTGCCGCGTCCAGAACCTTCCTCCGTCCGGCCGCCCTCCCTCCTCCCGCTTACCTACGCGGAGCGCGGCCCCGCCGATCCGCCGCCGATCCCCCGGTGCCGGTGGGAGCGCTGGAGGCGGCCGCTGCCCGCCCGCCGTCCGCCGCGCTCCGCCGACCCGCCGGGCTGGCTGGGCAGGTCCGGCCGCGCGCCTTAACCCCTTCGGGGCCGCCCGAGCCCCGGCACGGCCCCCCCCGGCCCCGGGCAGCCGCGCTCAGCCCCCCCGGTGCGCTGCGGGCCGCGGGGATGCGGCGCCGAGCCCCAGCCCGCCGCATGCGGGAGGCGGGGATGCTGGAATGCTCCGTCACTGCCCCCCATGGCAGACAGCCAGGCGCTGCTCGCTGCAAGCTTTTTTTTTTTTTTTTTTCTTTTTTCTTTTTTTTCTCCCATTATTTTTAGACAGAAAGCAGCCATCAGCCATCCCCGCGCTCGGATGTGCTCTGAGTGATGCTGCCTGGCCCCCCCCCACCGCACCCAGCAATGCAGCTCCCTCGCTGGTACCCGAGGCTGCCGCGGCGATCCGAGTTCATTGCAATGTCTGCCCGGGTCTAAATTTGGAGCAGATTCTTCCCCTGCCCCGAGCAGCTCCCGCAGCCCAGCTGGGGGCAGAGGAGCATCGGATGACATTACAAAATAAGTCTCTCGATCGTTTCAGTGCCACCCCCGCTCTCCCGGCCTCTGCCTTCCATTTTAATCAGCGACAGGCTTTCTAACATTATGGATATATATATAATCTTTTTAATATCGCTGACATTTTCCATAATAGAAAGCATTCCTGGGTGCTGGGGCATTCTGGAGGTCTGCCTTCCTCGCTCCGCACAGCTGAGGCCGCTGCTTTGGGTCATGCAGGGGGGACAGCAGAGCCACGCGCTGCACATCCTGGCAGCTGAACCTCCCACAGGGGTTTGGCCACATGAGCTGAACGCACATCGAGCATCACAGCACTCCCAGCACCCAACCCCTCCTGCAGGTCAGCCCGGACAAGTCAGTCCCAGCAGCCAGGCCCAACTCGCGGCCCTCCAGGCGCTGTGCCAGCGCAGGGTTTGCAGGGTGGGCTGCAGCCCCCGCCGTAGGCAGTGGTGAGCCCTGGGCAGGCGGGCTGCTCTGCAGCTGCAGCCTCTGGGAAGGCGCAGCGCTTTCCCGGAATCCTCTCCCAGCCCCTCTCACAGTTACGGTGCCTCCTGGCCCCACACGTGTGCGGATTTTGGTTGGCAGCTCACAGGGCAGGAAGGTCGCTCACCTCAGTGAGCAACAAACAGCAGCAATGATTAATGCAGACACAAACAGTGTGGGCTGAGCCCGGTGCTGTGCCCGGCGCGGCAGGGATACGGCCTTCCCAGCACGGGACTGCCCAGCCCTTCTGTCCAAAGGCAGACAGGAGGCTCAGCAGGCTGTAAACAGGGGTACATGTTTCTAAGAGTGCCAGGGAACCAGCTCTAATTTCACCACGTTTCCAGTCACAGGACTTGCACAAAGCAGCGTAAGAGGCAAGAAGGGGGCTGCTGCATGCTGCCCTCTGCCCAGCCCTCCCCTGCCCTCCCCTGCCCCACTGAGCGTCTGCTCTGGGAAGGTCCTGGTGAGGCCGCGGGAGCACCAGCACCACTCATTGCATTTCTGTTCCTTCTCCTTTGCAGAAATGTCAGGGCAGCAGCCCTGTGCCACCAGGCTCCTCCCGTGGAAGGGAAAGAGAGAACAGCACGTGATGTTCTGCCCTGCTATGGGATCCAAAGGAAACTCCCCTCTGTTTATTGACAAGCTCTGCAGTGAGCAGAAGAGGAGGTGAGCCTGGTTTCTCCAGGCTGGACTGGAGCTGTGGGACCTTGGGATGGCTTTCCCATCTTCTAGGGTGAGACCACCCCACACAAGCACTGTGAGGCAACCACGTCATCCTGTTACGTGCAGCCTCTCTCCTGCCCTGAGAACAGATGGCTGGAGCTGTGTGAGCTGGGCACACTTGCAGGCCGATAAGGATCTCCAGGAAGGCAGGAGCTATTGTCAGAGCCTGTGGGACACACCCCAACTTCGGGCCTTTTCCCCTCTCATTCTCAAACTGTTGCTGAAATCCTCACTGCAGTAATGCTGAGCAGAGACATTCCCTTTGTGGTTCAGCGGCCACTAAGCCAGAAGGGGCTCCTCCTTTCCACAGAAGCCAAAGTGCATCTCCTGACCCTGTAAGGTCTCAGAGCAGGAAGGGCTGCACGCAGCACAGTAGGGCTGCATTCAACACAGCACTGCCAGGAGCAGAGGGGAAGAACAGCAGCTCCCCCTGAGGTGCGAGTTAAAAAGAGAAACAAAAAGAAAGCACCTCAGCAGAGGGAAGAGTTCTGCACTACATGAGGCTCTGGGACACATGGCAGCATGGTTCCCAAAGTAAAGCAGCACGTGCCCGAGGCACACAAGCCTGGTGTAACTGCGCAGCAATGTGCAGAATCTGGAACAGTCATGCTTAGCATGGATACGCATCTGCTGTCTAAGAACCTCAAAGGTATCATGAGCCTAAATTAATGATCTGCACTGATGTCATTTCTTCACGGAGCCAAAGCCTCCCTGGGGAATGCCGTCCGGCTGCTCCAGCAGGAAAATGGCACTGCAGTGGCACATGGCCATGCACACCCACACAGCTCTGCCCTGGAAACCTGCGCAGCCCTGGCTGTGCTTCCAGGGAACGCTCCAGCCCAGCTGTGATGCACGAGGAAGCCCGGTCAGAAAGAGGTGACAGGCACATGTAGGCTGGCAGAGGCAGGAAGGGCGGCTCCAACACGGACCCAGCCCTGCTCTCTGTAGTTGGAGCACAGATTTCATCATTTCAATTCAAGAGTAATGAGAGTAATGAGTCTTGGAAGTGAGTAAGAATGGACTCAAATTGGGCATGGATACATTAAGGAGATAGCAAGAGATAGCAAGATCAGCATAAGAAATAGGCACATATGCAAGGAAAGGTGAGGTGGAAATGTGCACTTTCACAGAGATGCTGACAGCCCAAAGCTCCTGCTGTCAGGGAGACCTGTGAGGAGACTGATGAGCAGCCAGGAACATGATCAGATAAAAGGGAGACTTCCCTAAGTCCTGGTACTTGGGCCCTTGAGTACATGGGACAGCCTCTGCTCACTTGTTATACAACACAGATTGAAACACAGAGAATAACACAACTCTTCAACTGACTGGCATCTGTAAGTTTGCCTTCCTCAGCAGGAACACCAGCATTTTCTTGATGTTATGGTTTCTGAGGCTGCAATGCCTCCTGACCTGTCTCCTCCTGGCAAGCGACCACCTGTAGAACCAACAGATGATGTCACAGCAGGCTCACATCACAGCATGTCAGGAAAGAGGCACTCCAGCATTTGTGACCACTTCATCCCTTCAGAAAGAAGAACATCCACCTGTCTTGTGCAAGCATGGCTATTTCTTTATTTACTAAGTCCATTTCTACTTACAAAGGGCTTCACTCTCCCACTTTAAAGCACCTTGTTTTGTTCTAGCTCTTCAAATAAAGAAACCATTTTGCTCACCATTGAATCCAGCAGCCCATAAACCTGCAGCAAAAGTTAACAGAAGACACATGCAGTGAAAATGAGTGATGAAATCCTGATGACAAGATGGACAGAACAGAGATGGTTTCTAACACAGGAGTGTAGCAGCATATGGGCACGGACACAACCACAGAGAAGTGGCTGCCTACTTCCAGTAATAGCTTTCCTGGCTATGAAGTGTGTTTAACATTGTCTGAGATACAATTAATGCTGCTGCTCTCTCAAGAGTCCCTAAGTGTGCAAAAGACATCCCAGATAGAAATCCCGCATGTGGCGATGCGATGGCTGCATTTGTGTTAATGGGTTCCAGCCTGGAATCAGGGCCATCTTACCTCATGTCACACTTACCTTGCTACAGAGTTATAGACACACAGCTGTCAGTTTTTTAGTTTTACGGAACGCTTTACCTCTCCAGCTACGCCTCAGGGTCAGTTTATAAGCAAAGAACAGAAACCAGAAGTGAAGGTACAAACTTTGGCCAGACTCACTTCGACATAAAGTTTCTCCTGGTAGAGCCCCCAAATAATGGGGTCTGCCTGCTCCCGAGGAGGTGTGACAGTATCTGTAGCTGCAGCTCCTGTGGGCTGTGCTGTCTCTTTTACTGACGAGCTGGAAGATTTCAGCTTCTTCTTCTCTTTTACTTTTGACTTTCTACTGCTTGGGCGTTCCTATTCAAGGGACAGAGTTGGAAAAAGAAGTGACACAGACCAGAACACCTCTCACACTGCACAGCACGTGTCACGGGTTGGAAATCTCCAACTCAGGCACACAGCCTCACAAGGTACCACGCTGTCTTCAGAACACGATGCTGTGTTTTCCACAGGCGTCACAATACAAACCTCTTTCTCTTTTCCCGCCGTCTTCGTTGTTCTTCTTTTGTCTTCTTTATCCTTACCACCAACTGACGTTTTCTCTTCTCTTCTCCTGGTTATTTTGCCGCCTTCTCCTCCTTCTACAGGCTGCTTTTCTTCCCCTAAGAAAGAACTAATTCCAGTTACCTAAAGGCAGCACTTATATCCAGAAAGACACCCCAATGCACTCGGGGAATGTAAACATAGTATTTCTGCAGTGTATTTTCCTCTTCTTATTGATCTGAGCTATACTGCACTAAAAGACAGCAGCTTGGAGGAGTAAATTTAAATAAGTTTAAATAAGAAACGAACAGATCTCAAACATTCATCAGAACAAAGTCTACAAAGCAACTGAAAATGAGGTAATTTTTCAGTCTCGTCAGTGCAAAAATCAGCACTAAAATGCAGTGAAATCAAAATACTTATTTGTGATATTTTCTCTGTGTGCATTTTTTAACAGCAAACCGCACAACACAATTCTTATCTCACACACTATATAAAAGCTTTGGGGGGAAACTGATGAAGCTGCCATTCCAGTTGAAATTCATGAAGTTTTTTGAGATGCCAACAGTCCCCTCCTGCTATGCTGAAGCCAGCACTCACCTCTTCCCTCTGGAAGGACATCCACATAGGTGTCCCTCTCAGGCAATCCAAGCTGGGACCTCAGCCTCAGGGAGCGACCCACCAGCCCGTCCACTGCTTCACGCCACAGCTGGAGACTGAGAAGAGCATGAGAAACAGAAGGGAGACAGCACAGCAAGTGGGCACTTTGGGGTGGAAAGGGCCACTGTGTTCTACCCTGCGCCCAGGCCTGAAGGCACCTTACAGCCAGGAGCTGCCCTGTCCAACTACACCAACGGTGCCTAACATTGAGAAACCCACACCGAGGGAAATGGCATTCCTTTCCTTGGCTTGGAGCCTCCTGAGGTCTCAACAGTTTGCAAATCAACACGGACCCATAAATACTACTGTGAAATTAGGCCTCCTGCTCCTCACTACAACATGTGGTCAATCAGCCCTGATCCATGCTCTGTTCAGGAGGAATCTGCCTCCTTCTGATTTAGAAGCAGCTGTTAATATGGCACAGTCTGCACGACAGTACAGAATGGAGAAGCTGTGTGAGGGAGAATAAAGTTATTTGATAAAAGGGTACAGAACATTACCCAAAGATTTCATAAACATATCTTAGAATAATCTCGCCAGAAATAACCCTGCATACTCCCCAAAATTACATGAATATTCTAAACTTATCTCCAGAAAGAAAAGGCATTTAGATTAGGTAGCTGCTACAATTAGCCTGTAAGAAAACAGGGCACAAAAAAAGACTTCTAGATCTCACATAATTACATGCACTCTGAATCACAACACTGCAACAGAGCTTGCTATGCTGCTGATCACACAAGACATTTGCAAGCTCTATCCTGCACAGGCAACACACCAGGTTTGATACAGAAGGTCAGACTGAGTTGGTCTCTGCTCAGCACAAAGCTCCAGTGCTGCCTTGTTGAGCTGGGACAGCGCTGCTTCTCGCTGCTCCTCCTGGGGGATGGACTTCAGAGCCTGATGTGAGAGAAAACACAGCTTCCCAGTGCTCCTTCCCAGCCCTCTGCACCCCGAGTTCACTACAGCTCTCTTCCTGGAAGCCAGTCTGAAACCAATTGGCACCAGGAATTCCACACCCAGACACAGCCTGAGACTTGCCCAATATGCATGGGTGAGCCGTGCTGCCCCGAGCTCCCACTTAGATCCACCCACAGTAGATCCCTCTGCAACTGGGGGACAGGACTGCACCAGGTCAGAAGGCCTCCTGACAAAGAGAAACAGCTGACAGGTTTCCAAGAGAGCAGTGCAGAAAAACGGTGCTGACGGAACCCCAACCACTCTTGCTTTAATCTGTGGAGGTCTGTATTCTATCCACAGCCTGTGTGACTGCCCCTTAGTGCTCTAGTGAACAGGACTCTCCACGAAGAAGAGCCCTCAGGGAAGCCACAGGAGGCTGTGGGGTTGGCCTGCCTCCCCATTCAGCTCTGGGATGACAGAAAGCTAATTGGGTAAGAGCTTAAAATATCTACTGCATTGTCTGGTTCTCTTTCCTTCTGCACACAGCAGCCCTAACGCTCTCTCTGGGGGATTTCTTTACAAGAGCTGAGGGTGCGGCCAGCAGAGTTGGAGTGCTTCTCTGTAACACACACCATAAATCACCCCTAACTCAGAGACGGCTGGAAGCTGAGCTCTGGGTGGGCTCACACTGGGGTATCCAGGCTGTGAGGGAAACGGAACCAGCACCAGGCTGACCCTGTGCTGGAGGGAACCAGAGTGACCACCTGCTGCAAGTCCTTGAATGAGAAGTTCCACGACGAGGTGCCGGGTTCCTCCTCCCCCACGTTTGCCACTTGACTCTGAGTCACTTCAAGTGTGCTCTTCCAGCCTGAGCCCTCTGCAGTGCTCCTCTGGGCAGGGAGAGCCTCTGTGATACTCTGCTGGGACCTCACGTCCTCCACAGCACCCTCTTGGTCTGCAGGCACCTCCTCCCTGAGGGCTGAGAGAGCAGTCCCGTGCTGTCTCCATAGGTCGCGCAGCTGCTCTACCTCTCCATGCTGATAACGCAACTTCGATAACAAAGAGAAGGTAAATAGCAAATGAGTTCTGTCTGTCCCGTACAGACCTAATTGTTACAGCTGCTGTGGCAGGCAATGGGAGCCTCCCGAGTGCCCTGGGGGCATGGCCCCACTGCCTTCCCTTCCCTGCTACCTCAGCTGTGCAGCCACTGAACCACACATCTCACCTTGGGATTCCTCCTTTGGAATAACTCTTCCTCTGTGATGTACGCATCCACGGGAGATGGGGTGCGCTCTGGGGTCCGAATTTGGACAAGAAGGTCCTTCAGAGTCTCTTCTACAACAGCAGCACCCTCCCGAGCAGCCAGGTCAGCCTGCAGCACAATTCACACCCATGCTGCTAACTACATGCGTTAAGCAGGATTACAAGGACAAAGACAACAGCAAACCCCACTCAACTAAGCAGGGTAATTTTCAGTTTATTATCTAACATCATTCTGTATGATACACAATGCTATTCCCACTAACTAATGGAGTTCACTACAAATAGAAAATGCATTTTTAAAAGAGCCACTGCATACAGTTTAGCTGCACGACCACAGCTTCATTATCAAGATTACAATGCGATGCAGGATTCTTCTATTTTTTTTTTAGCAAACCTGCTTAAGCAGGTACGATGTTCAGAAAATAATACCTCACTCTCAGCCTTAATTGCATAGCAATAAAAACACCGCGTCCTCCACTCCCTCCCTTGTCCTCTATTTGCATATTAAGTTCAAAGCTCACATTTACCCAGTTATACGCCTGGTTACCTCCAGTTTTCCTCTGAGGTCAGCCAATTTATCCTCACACACAGCAATTCCCCAAAGGGTCACCTGCAGCAGAGCTCCTCCTAATAACAGAGGATGTGTCCTGAACTCCCAGCACTCACTGAAAATGCCTGCTCTCTCAGACTTGAAAAGAAAAAAAAACTTCCTGGTTTCTCCAGGCAGAATTACACCTGAAATGAGAGAAAATGCATCGGTCTGTAAGAAACCACCTGGTTCACCTGGCCCTTTTCCAACCCCCAGTGAGCGTCCTCAGCTCTCCAGGAGACTCTCTTTAGCTGTGCTGGCTATCACACCCCATCCAACTATGTGTTTTCTTCCAGATTGACTCCAGTCACTGTGTTACTGAGCTTCTGCACACTTCCTTGACAGTGAACTCAGCGCCCTCTCTGGTAAATGATGCCCAGTTTGCTATCAGAAGGTGATTCACTTCTCAGTATTCCACCCATTTACATTCAGAACAGGAGCAACCTTCTTTCCTTAGAGTCCTTAGAGAGGGATCTGCCTCACACACCTAGTTTGCTGTGAGTCAGCTTGCTGAGAACCACCCAGGGCTCGCTCTGCCATGAGTCACAGCATCCCAGATAACTCCTGGCTGTTTGCTCTATGCTCTGTGCACAAAGGTCTCAGAGATCAGCAGTTCTCATACCTGGTCTGGCATCAAAGTAAAAACACCGCATGCGCATCCTCGTGGATTCTCTAGAAGGGATTTGCTGGAGAAGCCTCCTCCAGTCATACCAGACAGCAGCTGTGCCATCATTGCTCACTGTTAGGAAGCTTTCAGCTTTCTCACCAACCAGAGTCTCAAAAGTGAGCCTGGCAGCAATGCCAACTTCATCCTAAAAGGAGAAAGAGAAGGACAAAGATAACAATTCCTACTCCATCTTGCCGGAAGTCATACCACAAACAAGGGGCTGAGCCTTGACTGGAGAACTTTTAAGGCAGGTCCAAAGAATGGCCATTATACAGGGGGCTTCTGGGAATCTGAGCTCCATACCACAAAGCAATCATTTCTGTTTCTAGAACTTTCTGGAGCAAACATGGGGACACTGCTATGTTCAGAACAAATCCCCCATTCTCCATCCTGAGCGTGACACTCATTGTACAGCCCTGACTTGGGAACTCAAGCAAGCTCAGTCCAACTAAACAATAAGAACACACAATTACCCTGCAAGAAGCAATGCAGTTGATCCAACGTGCAGGCTGGCCACAGAAGTCTAAAGATGGACCCAGCACTGTTTCTGGAACCACGCTGCAATGGTCCTTTAAGGAGTCACTGCTAAAAAAATGACACAGTGTTTCTGTGGAGTGAAACTCATTTTCAGAGGTGGGAGAACCTGTGGTGATTTGTGAAACCCCGTAAGAAATAATCGCCCAAAAAATGCTTTTCTGCACAGCTCTCTCTTTACAAAGCTCTGCAGCTGTGGTTAACAAACTCCAGCTGGGGACCTGTCACCATCACAGAGGACAGGACAATAAAGAGAAGCCTAAGGAAGGCTGAGGGTATGCGAGTGAAGCAGGAGAGAAGCTCCTAAGGTGCCTGTACAGATGGACAGGGCAGGGAAAAAAAAGCAGATTAACGATGGAAGGCTGCAAGGGGACAACCAGATGGAGATCATTCCGAGCAGCGCCCACCCTGCGTGCTGTGAGCTCTGGAGCCACACAGAGAAGATGGCAGGAAAGGCCTCAAAAAACTCTTCTGATTCTTGCTCCTTAGTCATTAGGCCCCCAGGGCAGAAAGGAACCGCCGGATCCTTGGATCTGGTGACTTTAATATCAGAACACTTTTACTGTGTCCTTTGGAGACTCCTCTCTGCTCTGGATAAAAGCAGCTCAGGAGATCCCTACAGACTGATGGTGTGTACCCAAAATTCCTTACTACCATCAAATGAAGCTTACGAGGTCTCAGAATCTTCAAAAGCAGTGGAACATGGAAGAGACTGCGCTGAGACAGACGTGAACGGCCGCCCTCTGCCAATCACCTCCAGGCCATCCAGATCCTGCACATACAGAGAAGTGACCAACTCTTAACTTCCCTTTTTATATGGAAAATAAGCCAAATTCCAGACAAACACAGCAAGTGAATCAAGTAAAGTGAAGTTCAGCAAACTCACTCCTGCAACAGCTTCTAGACCTATCAGAAAAATGTGCAAGAGAATAAGGAATTACTCTGAGCCTCTCAACTACCCTGGGATGGGCTAACTGCCTTCAGAGCTTGGATGCAAACCTTCCACAGGGGCAAAGATATCTTCCTTTTGCTGTAAGGCACAAAATAGAAGTCCTGCACCAGTATTTGGCTTTTTGTTGCCAAGGCCTTAGTAGCTGCAAGCTGCTGGTCAGGGCCCCATTTTGAAGCCCCTAAGGCAGCACATAACTCACAGAGAGGCCGAGAATCTCCTTTGTAGCTGCCGCCTTTTGGAAATGTGGGAACCTCAAGACAAGAACTGCAAAGCTAAGCCTTAGAGGGTTCCTAATGCCTCTCCAGATTCAGTCTTTAGCTATTCTTTGTTACCTGAAAGCACTTTACAAGAGGTGAGGGACATAAAGAATATTCTCACTCCTGAGACTTACTGGCTTATAAAAATCCAGCTCCTCTAGGATAGATTTTAGCTCCTGCCGTCGCTGTTTCAGAAAAGGACTCTTATCCCAAGTTAGACGGAAAGGGATCCCCTTTGGAGGCTTCACACCTGTGTGAACACCCACATAAGAGCTCAAGCATCTACTCACCCACTTGCCTCCTTATTTCACTCAGCCCTGCACATAGGAGCATCCCTGCACCCAGGCTGTGCCACAGCACTTACAGCAACGCAGTGCTGGTGTAGCAGCCTACACCACCCCTGTGCTCACTGCAGGCCCAACCAAAGGTGACTGGGAAGCAGCCTCTGTACTACTGGGAGTGACCACCTCATCCTGCTGCTCCCTTCACTTCCTTACCCGTTTCCATCTGAACAGTGTGGGGCTTCCCCACATGAGTGACTGGCTCTGGGCAGCCCCATTCTCTCCGTGTCAGTGTCACTGTCAGGCCGGTCAGCTCATCCCCAATGCGCTCAGGCTGGCTCCAGAATTCGCTTCCTGCTCGGTAGCCCTATGGGGAAACAAGGCTCCAACCAACACCCTAGGAGACGTGCAGCTGCTTGCTATTTGCGCAGGGACTGGCAGCTGAAAAGAAGGTGGTATCTCACTCTGCCTGTGTGGGTATTTTAAAAGACTATAAATAATCACTTTCTGCAGGGTAAGCGAAATTTCTACCAGGTTGTTGTCAAAGACCAAAGACGACTTTCTTCTACCTGGCACTACATACAAGTTGAATGATATTAATGTCACATAAATGCAGGTCCTTTGATCTTCCTCTTATAGCATTTTATAGTGAGTGCTATAATAATTTATAGTGTTAAGAAAAAAAAGTCTCTCTCCATGGAACCCTCTAAACTTGAACTATCAGATCTTTTTGGCCTTGGAACAACGTGTGGCACATCCCCAGCGCCATGCACGTGGCCAACCCAAGTTCAGCAGCTTGTAAGAAGCCGCCATGGCAGCCACTGCTTTCCCATGCATAGCCCAGGCAGCACAGTTCATGTTTTCATTTTGAGAATCACTGAGAGCTCTGCTCACATAGTAGGCTGAAGGACTCAGCTGGAAGGGCTTTGGTAATTATCTGAAGACAGATCTGCACAAGTATTATTCACAGCAGCAGTGCCTAAGCTCTTTCACAAGAACAGAGCAATTAGGATGCAAAGGAAGTGGGGCTCTCACCTTTCCAGGAAACAGGGCAGGGAGACTACGGTCAATGAGGTCACGTTCTTCCTGGATTTGTCTGTAATCCTCCGAGATGCTCATCAGCAACTCATCCTCTGGCCTCTTAAGAATTTCTGTAAAGGAAAATAAAAGGCACAGCACTTCTCCTGGGCACATCCTTTACTATTTTCAATGTGCAATCCCCTTATACCATCCTCATCAAATCCACTGTGCTTCCCGTAGCCAGAACCAGCAGCTCACTCTGCAGGGCCACCACAGGCAGTAGCACCCACAGCACGGGGAGTCCAGACAACACTGAGGTAGGAGGCAGTAGCAGCAGAACTAACCCTGTTTGGCTCTGGCCATTACTGCATGTTGTGGAGCCATCACACAGCCCCACGTGCACACAGAATCTCACAGAAAAGGGTCTCAAATCCTCTCACCTCCCAGATACCTCTCCTGCTTCTTCCTGATTGCCATATTATGGTGCCAGTTCTGCAGAGCTTTATATTCTGATGCTGGGGTCTGGTGAAACTTTCTCTTTGTTTCTCCTCCACGTTTCTCTTTTAAAACTGCTGCAGTAACATGTTGATGAGGAATCTGAATAGAATCTGCTATCTGAAAAGAAATGAAACAATAGAACTGACCTCACAATGCATACACTGCCAACACAACAAAAATATTGTGAAGATGAGAGGAGAAGAGAATCGTTCTCAGGATTCTCAGAATCAGACTGCAGTGCCTTTACCTGATCAGAGAGGTACAAAGATGGGGCACTAAGCACATACTCAAAAATGATGGATTTAGCCAAGTAACTGAACTCAAGCAATGATGTTACTGCAGCCCCAGCTCTTCCCACGGTTGCCTGATGCCATCAACATCAGCCTTCCCTCCAAAGCCTTCACCTGCACACAGGACCTCAAAACCTGCTGGTGCAGTTTCTCTGGAGGCAAACCCTCCCCCACACAGCATGATGACGAAGAAACGCCACACCTCAAGCCTGCCCTGCTTGAGACAAGTGCTGAAATAAATCACATCGCACCACATCACATTCACCTCTAGAAAAGCATTTTTATAATCGACCTGAGCATTTCCTCTGGCCAAGGCTTCCATCTTCAACTCCTGGAGACTTCCCAAAACATGATGAGGAAGAATTTCTTCACAGCCCTCACCGAACAGTGCTGGTCCTACAACAAAAACACCAGACCCCAGGGCAGGTCGCTAACTCTAGGCTTGCCACAACCAAAAATCACAGGTAAACTCTGAAGCTTAGCCCTACCAGAGAAGCGCAGCGGCTCCCCAGCTGTCCTCAGGGAAGCCGGCCGTGCTACCAGGAGGCGTGGGGTTGTTTTGGCCTCTCTGGGTTGGTATTTCCGAACGAGGAATTTCCTCTGGACTGGAATCCTCCCAGCATCGTGGGGCAGGCGTGGAGCGTGGAGCTGCAGGAAACAAACAATCACAGCGTAATCAGCTACAAACCGAGCTTCCTTCATTCCTTCTGACCCATCTGGGACAAGGGGGGAAGTCCTGTCAGCGCACACTGCTTCTCATCACAGCACACTGCACAGAACCACCAACCGTTCGGGTTGGAAGAGCCCTCTATGGCCGTTCACCCCACCGCCCGCATCCCTCGGCGCCACATCCCGGCAGCGCTCAACACAGGGCTCCCCGTGCCGCCGCACCAGGGAGGAGAAACTGTTCCCACTGCCCGACCCGAACCTCGCAGGTGCCGCCTGGGGCCGCTGCTCTTTGCCTTATCTGACCGCGGGGACACCCGCTCAGTTCCCAGCCCGCTCCTCCACTTATAACCGGGCAGGGACAGGCGCTCCGATCGCTGCCCCGCTCGTTTCCCGTGCCGGTCGACGCCAGACGCTCCTCCCGTGCGGCCCAGCGGGAGCGGAGGCGGCGGAGCGGAGCCGAGCCGCGGGAACCGACGGACAGCGGGGGGGAGAGGAGCTCGGGCTGCGCTCAGACAGCGGGCCGGGGCCCGGGAGCCCCGCTCGGCGAAGGCAGGTTTTCGCGCCGGGACAAACACGCACTTTTTCCAGGTCCTCCAACCGAACGGCGAGCGCTCGGACATCGCCGCCCCGCAGCGGGCACGGCGCGGGCCTCGGCTCTGCGGGGAGCGGCCGGCTCCGCTCCTTCGGCTCTGAAACGCACAAAGACGGAGCGCCTCAGCGCCGGGAGCCGCACCGCACCGGGACGCGGCCGCGGGTTCGCGGGAGGGGAGCGGGTCGCGCACCCGATGGGGACGGGGACGGGGACGCGGCCCGGCCCTTCCCGCGGCCCTCCCGCCTCCGCGGCGCGCGGCCCGCCTGCATCCCTCGGCCCGGCGGCGCGCCCGGCGCCATGGCAACGCGGCGGCACCACTGAGAGGAGCGCCTAGAGCGGCCCGCGCCGCCACCGCTCTATGGTGCCGCCACCGCTCTATGGTGCCGCCACCGCTCTATGGTGCCTATGGTGCCGCCACCGCTCTATGGTGCCGCCACCGCTCTATGGTGCCGCCACCGCTCTATGGTGCCGCCACGTGAGCCGCGAGCGCCGCCTGCCGGACCCGCCCGGCGCCCCGCCGCACACAGAATCACGCAGAAGCTCGATGTTGGTCAGGACCTTCAGCATCATCCCGTCCAGCCGCCGACACCCGGGCCGCGCCGCGCGCTCCGCCGTTTCCCCGGCCCCACGTCGGCGTTTCACGGCGTTCATCGCCCGCAGCCACAGCGAGGTCTCAGCGCGATGCCCGTCCCCCGCCGTCCTCCTCCTCCACCGCGTTCCAGCGGCGCCGCAGTTGGCACAGCAGCGCGGGCAGCAGCGAGTCCAGCAGGGGCAGCCCGGCGGGCGTGCAGCGCAGCGCCCTGTGCAGGCAGCACCTGAGCACCGCCCCGCACCGAGCCCGCACCGCCGCCCCGGCACTCACCGCCCGTTCAGCCGCAGCCAGCCCCGCTCCTGCAGCTCTCTCGCCTCCCCCGGCGCCCCGAACGCGTCCTCCAAGCTCAGGCGGGGGGAGAAGAACCCCCAGCGCTGCGAGGGATCAGCGGTCAGCGGCGGCTCCTCGTTTCGGTGCCCGCGGCCGGCAGGTGCTCACCTGCTGCGTGACGCCTTCATCCGTGCGCAGCCCCAGCGCCAGCACCTCCTGCAGCCTGCGGACACGGAGGTTACGGGGCTGGGAGAGGCGCGGAGGGCGCTCCTCCGTCCCGTCCCGTCCTCACAGCTCCAGTGGGCTCAGCGCTGCCCGCCGCCGGGTGCCGTGCCCGCAGCTCCGCACCTCCCGCATCCACGTGTCAGGATGCGGCGTCTGCACGCGTGCCTCGCGCAGGCGGCCGCCCTCTCCCCACGGCACGAAGCGGCCGTGTGCCCCTGCAACGGCACAGAGAGAGCAGAGAGGATGCGGCGCACACGCGGCCCCACGCAGGGTCAGCACCGCCAGCCCCAGGGCTTACCCGGCCCCACGCCCACGAACTGCTCGGCCCGCCAGTAGGAGAGGTTGTGGGTGCTGCGGGCGCCCTGTAGGACAGTGGTGTGGTGGGTGAGGAGGGGCTGCGCCGGACTTGGGGGCATAGGGTGGAGGTGCTCACCTTCCTGGCAAAATTGGAGACCTCGTACTGGTGGAAGCCAGCGGCCGCCAGTGTGGCGCGGGCGCTCAGGTACAAATCGGCCAGCAGCTCCTCGGGGGGCTCCGGCAGGACCCCCCGCCGCACCTGGGCCTCCAACGCCGTGCCCCGCTCCAGAGTCAGCTGGTACAGGGCCAAGTGGTCGTCACACAGCCCCTGTGCCGCCTCCAGGTTGCGTGCCCAGGCCTCGCGGCTCTGCCCCGGCAGCCCGAAGATGAGGTCGAGGGAGGTGCGTCCGGGAAAGAGCTTCCGTGCCGCCTCCACCGCCGCCCGCGCCTCCGCCGCTGTGTGCTCCCGGCCCAGCAGCCGCAGCTCAGCGTCATCCAGGGACTGCGGATGGAGCACGGTGGCAGCAGAGCTGCGTGGGAACAGAGGGATGGGACGGGGCGGGATGGGGCGGCCGCTCTCACCTGGACGCCAAGGGACAGGCGGTTGACGCCGGCCGCCTTGAAGCCAGAGAGGCGTGTGGGGTCAGCGGAGCCGGGGTTGGCCTCCAGCGTCACCTCGGCTCCAGCAGGGAGATGAGCGACCTCCGCAGCCGCCTCCAGCACGGCGGCGATGGTGTGCGGGGCAGCCAGGCTGGGGGTGCCCCCACCGAAGAAGACGGAGGTGACGCTGCAGGGAGGGCAGGGGAGAGGCTGCAGGCGGCCGCTGAAGGGCCCCGTACCCCCTGGGCCCCAAGGCGGGCACCCACCTCCGCACGTGGCCGAGGCGCAGCAGGGTTTGCGTCTCCCGCACCAGACAGGCACGCACGGCCGCCTCGTCCACAGCCGGCACCACGTACTTGTTGAAGCTGCAGTAGGAGCAGTGCTTGCGGCAGTAGGGCCACTGCGGGCACAAGGTGTCTGTGGGGCACACGGCTGTCCCACAGCAGGGGCACGGCCCCGCACGCACAGCACATCGACTCCCACTGCCCACCGCCCGCATCCCTGGCTGCTGCCCTTTGCGCGCACAGAGCCTTCGGCACCCCGACGTGCACGTGGCAGCGGCACCCCACGCGTACCAGCAGCACCAGCAGCCCCAGCCCGCAGCTGCCCCGAGCGGGACCCGCTCCACGTGGCGGAGCCCCGCTCCTCACGTCCCCGTCCGCGCCCACCGCTGCGTCCCCACGCTCACGTGCACGTAGAGAGCGGCTGTCGCGGGCCCCGCCGGTTGGGGGCCGGGCTCGGAGGGCTCCGAGTCCGACCTCAATCCCGCAGCACAGCCCGTCCCGCGTGGCCGCACCGCCCAGAGCCCCGCACGGAGGCCCCGCACCGCCATCACGCAGCGCAGCCGCACCGCCCCCGTTCCGCCCCGGACGCCACACGGGGTTCCGTTTTCCGGAGACCTCCTTGTCTTATCTGAACGGAGCGCGCAGCCTTTAACTAATTAATAACGGCAGCCTTTAATTAATTACACGTTTGTATGGCGTCCGGCGCGTGAACGTGCGCTGCCGGGAAAGGTCCGGGCCGGGTGTGAGCGGAAAACCTCCGCCCGGAGGCGGTGCGGCCCCGGCCCTGGAGGCGCCCCGGAGCCCCGGGCTGGCAGCGCTCCGCCCGCGGCGGGGAGGGGAACTGCGTGGCTTTTACGGCCCCCTCCGACCCCGCCGCTCCACGACCCCACGGTGTTCCCGAGGACCCGTCCGAGCCGCGCTGCGCACAGCGGGGCTCTGCCGAGAGGAGCTCCGGGCGGTGGGGAGGTGGGCTGGGGGCTCGGGGCTGTTCTGCGCCCCGCTTCGCGCTCGCCCCCGCAGGCGGCGTTTGGGGACATTCCGCCGGGACGGCGCTGACATCGCCGCGTGCAGCCCCAAATCTCCCCCGCGGCTGCGGGATGAGGCGGAACCGCCGCGTTCCCCCGCTCGTGGTTGTGCAAAGCCGGCGCTGACGGCCCAACGCGTCGCGTTTTTTGAATTTGCACTATTAATAGAAGTGGAGAAGTGAAACGTGGCTGTGACAAAGGGAGGGGAAGGCCGGCACCGTAAATTCCTGCTTTCAGGCCGACGTCACAGCGGGGATTTTCCCAGCTGGCAGCGAGGGCTATAAGACACAGGTAGGGATGGGCTGCGGCTGCACAGCTCGCATATGGGCGCATTGACCGACGTGACGCGGGGAGCTCTGCTGTGCGTCCACGCTGTTCTGGTGAGTGCTCGTGGAGCAGGGCTGCGGGAGGCTGCGAGCAGCGACCTCAAAGCCGTGAGGTGGCCATGAGATGGGAAAGCTCTGGGGCTGGGACGTGGGTGGGTGCTGAGCCCCAAGGTGAGCAGTGCGTGGCCTGCAGCTCGTGTATGCAGATGGGGCGGGGCGGGGGAGAGGGCTGGTGGGGTCTGCATCCCTCTGTGTGACTGTAACCTGTGCCTGGGGCTTCTCTCGGCAGTCTGCGTACCCACACAAGGCAGGATTGATTTCATCTTCGTCTCATAGCAGCCAACCCCAGGGATTCCACACCCAGGTGAGTACATGGGGGTGCTCCTGGCAGCTGGGTCTGTACAGAGGTTGTAGGTGCCAAGCAGGAAGGAGAGAAACTCTTCCCAGTGCAATCCAAGCTGTCCTGCGCCTGGGTTAATGCTGTGGGAAGCAAAGGATGGATGTGAATCCTTTCTTAGACATGATGCACAGAGATCTGCTGTGTCTCCAAGGTCATTACTGCCATTGCTGCAGTCCAGGTGGTGGTTCCTCCTCGAGGAAGGAGGGTTTAAAGGATCCTAACGCTGCATTACATTTGTGCACATCAGACTTACCTCGGGGCAGTGGGTGGAACGCAGCCTGCAGGCGGTGTGGGGAAGTTGGAGGCACCGACCAGAGATGCGCTGTGTGGAAAACTCTGTGACAGCACTGCGGGCGCAGATCTGCAAGGTACGATGCTGACACGGTCTGTTGTTCTTTCAGGAAGCACCTACGAACAATGGTCATCTCATTGAGAAGGTCTGCTTCCATGGGTAGAGCCCACAGTCCAGCTGGGAGAGCCAACACAGTGACTTCACTGACAATTCCTCGCTCCCCCTTTGCACCACTGCTCCTCAGCAGCTCCAGCAGATAGAAAGAGGTTGGTGAGAGTTGGCTGCAATGTAATCTGCAGCCCAGCTGGTGTGGGACACTCGACGGGAGGGGAAAGGAGCTCTGCTCTTCAACTTCTCGTCGTGGTGTTTCATGGTTGGGAGGCACCAAACTCCCGTAAAAACGCTGTCCCAGGTTTGCTCTGCTTGACGCTTCTCATGGGACAGAAAGTTTGGTATTTCTGTACAGTGCTTACTGTCTGTCTTATTCAAAGCAACAGAAATAAACACCATTAAGTCTGTGTTGGAGAAGTTTATTTGCGGGTCAGAAGGCCCCTGGGAGGCCTGGGAACAGGGCTGGTATTTCCAGCCAGCTATGGGGATCCACTTCTGACAGAAAGCCTTTCTGCCCAAAGCCTCTACCCTTCATCTTGTTTATCGGTGTGTCACTTCACTGGGTGATTTATGTGCCCTATGAATCCCAATAGCACCCAAGCAGAGAAGGCATTAACCAGGTGTGACTGTTGTGACTTCAAATATCAGTAAAAATAGGAACAATATGTTACCAGCATCTGTTCAGGCCCAGAAAGCCCTCTGAAATGGCTGTAGCCAAGTTGCTTAAAGAGAAACAAGACTTTGCAACCTTCATGAAGTCTTAGAGTAAGAGGACAGAGTTCCAGAAGTAAGCATCTTTTCCTCACACTGCAGTATTTCTTTTGGCAAAGAAACAAACCTAACTGCAAAAAAAGGCTCTCTGTTCTATAAGCATGAAAGTGCCATCAGTCCAAGGGCAGGGAGAGAAGCCCTCCACTGCTTGTCACAAGGCACAGGTGAAAAGGAGACGTAAGGCTGGACGCAGCAAGTCCAATTTATCCCTTGTTTTATTCTCCTTCCTGAGCTCAGAGCTGAAGGTGCTTCTCCATCTGCTCTCTCAACTTATATTTCTGAATCTGGAACAAAGCACAGGTGCAGAGGTTCAGACAGCACGGCAGGGCACGGCTTCTCTCCTCCCACAGCCCCTCTTACCTTGCCTGACACAGTGAGTGGGTACTGACTCACAAACACAATGTAGCGCGGGATCTTGAAATGGGAGATCTGGGAAGAGAAAGCCAAAGCTACAAACCTGCCAGGAGCAGTGTGTGCAGCACGTGCTGCCTGTCACATCCACTGTGCAGCAGCCAAGCCACGACTGCAGGGACCAGGTGAGCTACATCACTGCCTTTGCAGCCCCCCAGCTGCTGCTGGTTGTGGTGGCCAGGCAGGACACTGGGAGCTGTGCACACAGGAGTGGAAGACACACCTTCCCTTTGCAGAAAGCTTTGATATCATCCGCTGCGCAGCTCTGCCCAGCTCTCAGTCGGATGCAGGCACAGACCTCTTCTCCCATCAGCGAATCCTTCACTCCAACCACCTGGTGGGGACAGAAGGACGTGTGAGCCTGCAGACATCCCCCCCCAGCAGCTCGCTGTGCCTGCAGGGCGTGCACAGCCCCGACCCACTGCAGGGTGCATGGGGTGCAGTTGTGCATTAGCTGCCACAAACAGCCTGCCAGAGCTTCCTATGTGTCACTAAGCCCTCCTGGAAGGGCTTCCTGCCGCTTGTTGGAGGAAATGTGGCACAGCAGGATGGGCACCCAGACGTCAGCGCCTTCCCCTGGTTTCGCAGTCACTGAGGTCAGGGCTGAGTCAGGGCAGCCAGGCCTCTGTGAGAATGGAGGGGAGCTGACATCTCATTTTGTGCCTCCGTTTCCCCAGCTGTAAATATGGGGCAATAGGTTTCATGACCAACAGACCTGGGAGATTGCTTCAATTGCTTTGTGTTCTCAAGATGAAACAGCAGGAGAGGGATGAAATAGAACTAATGGATTCTTCGGAACCCTTATAAAGGCAGAGCTCAGTTCACCACTGCCTGTGACACCAGGAGATCAGATCACTGCAGGTGGGCCTCCCAAGCCTGATCTCTAAAGTTGTCTTACACCATTTCACACGAGTCCTCCTGCCATCCCTGCCTTGCCCAGTGCCTCAGACCCCCAGAGATGTGTTGATCCTTGAGTCCAGAGCAGTGACACACAGCCCTAGGAACTGCATAAACGGGGCTGGTTTGCACCCAACTGCAGGGGGCCGTGCCAAGGAGACGTGCCAGCCTAGCACAGGCACAACGCTTACTAAACAACTGGTTTATTTATGGGGAAACTTGTCTGGCACAAAACGTGGAGGAAAACAATCCCAGCAGATTGGGAGCAGCTGCTCAATGCTGCACATCATTTCTGTCTTGTGAACAGATAAAACTATGTCTAACTCCTCATCTCCAGGCATTTGCTGGAGTCTTTTTTGATTTAGGAGTGTAGGAGTTAATTATCAGTAAGAGCTGTCCTCGCAGACTGCTTTCCAAGTAAGAATTTCAGGGAGCATTATGAAAGTGGACAGGCAGTTTAAAAACTGAAGGATGAGTCACTGCTTTGCAGATGTGAAACTGCTGCACAAAGGTTTTGTCTGAACTTCTGTGCCTGCAACACTGACAGAAAAGACCCAGAGGCTCTGTCCACCTCATTCCTGTCCCCACCAGCTGCAGAACGATATTGCACTGAAGAAGCTGAAAAAGGGGGAGGTCAGCCAGGTGCCAGCAATCCCAAGCATCCTCGTGTAGGTTTTTCAGCCCATAAACCACCGCTGTTTAGCCAGCCCCGTTCCCTGCTGCTCACCTGGACCTCCTCAACCTTGGGGTGGGTGTGGAGAAACTGCTCGATTTCTGCTGGGTAGATGTTCTCTCCTCCCCGAATAATCATGTCCTTGCAACGGCCTATAATTCTGCAGTAGCCATGCTCATCCAGGGTGGCAATGTCCCTGCAATGACACCACAGTCCAAGCCCTGCCCCAGCTAGGTGGAACAGCAACTGCCTCACCCATCAACCCGGAGGCCAGATCAGACTACCTGGAAGGGAATGGGCGAGCTGTCACTAAAACACATGAAAGAAACTCCTGCAGAGATCAGAGAGTTTCTGCTATAGGCAGATAGTGTCATGTGCAGCACCTACAAACACCGGGGCTCAGGGAAGGAGACGCCTGCCGTCGCTGTCCTTGCCTCTGCTGCATGCCTGCAGCGCTCTGCCTCTTGGAGGAAGCACAGTCACACCAAGTAAACACCTCCGACTCCAGGAGCAGTTTGCTAAAAGCTGTTCTGGAGTTTCATGGAGAGGAACCGACAGATCAGAAGGCTAACTCTGGCCAGTTTTCCCTACTTCGGAAATCATAGCTAAACCATTCATGTACACATACGTCCCCGTGCAGTGCCCCCATCCAGGAGGGACATGGGAGAGCAGGGTGCTTTCCAGACTCACCCCGTCTTGTACCAGTTATCATCAGAGATCACTTCCCGCGTTCTGGCGGTGTCATTCCAGTACCCCAGCATGACACAGTAGCCACGGACCTGAAGCTCCCCAGGAGTGTTCAGAGGCACAGGCTTCCCTGTTTCTGGATCCTCAATTTTTGCCTACAGTGGAAGAGAAGCAGAGCTTTCAGGGAGCTGAGCCAAATGTTATGGCATGCAGCAGCTCCAGGAGCAGAGAGGACCTGGAGCAAGTGGGGAGGATCATGTTCACCTCTGTGTGGGGCAAGATGGATCCCACTGTCTCGGTCCTTCTGGTAAAGTTGTCAGTGGGGAATCCCATGAAGGTGACAGGGCTGTTTTCTGTGGTCCCATAGGCAACCTGCAATCACAAGAGCAGCAACATGCCTAAAGAGGAAGAGAGCACAGCTCCAGCCTTGGGAAAGATGAAGTGAGTGATGGCCACAAGGAGATGGGGCGGGAGGAGGATGTTATCAGCAGTCATTCCAGTCACAAGCAAGCACTGTGCTCTCCTGGCTCTCCACTCGCTGCTGCCAGAGAGACTCCAGGAGCACAAAGGCTACAGAAGCTCTGACTGCAAGCTGTGGCCTCGTGACTGCCCTGCTCCAGACCTCTGCTGCCCAAGGCACTTTGTCTGTCATTTACTTTTGACAAACCAGCTGCTTTTCCTGGAGGACCCCAGGGCCCGCTCTCCTCTTTTTTAACGCCTGTGTGCTTCCCAAGCCCTGCCCTGTTTATTCCTTGCCACCTCTGCCACATGCTGAACTTGCCTGTATGCCCTTGCAGCCATCCACAAGGTGCTGAGTTCACCTTCCATCTTCCACGGCTTAGGGCAAAGAAAAAATCACTTGGATAAAACCCTGGAGACAGCAGTGGGCTCCTGTGGGAAACCACGTGCCCCGCTGCGTGGCTGTTTGCTCCAGATCCTTTTGTGCAGACCTCAGCTCCCATAACCTCCTAAAGACATCACGAGGCTGCACAACGCTCAGCGCAGCTGCACTTACAGACCAAAAGCCTCACAGCAGGACAAAAGCAGCTTGCTGCTAACCCTCCCTCAGCACTAATCCCACCGGCAGGCTCTGAGTCACCTCAGCTGAAGGTCAGTTCTCCTCGGAGGAAAATTCCAGCTCGTTGTGCCCGGTGTGGTGGCTGGAGAGCTCGCTGGGTGCCAGGAAGGAAGCGCTCAGGGCAGTTCTGAGCCACGGCTGACAGCACCACGCTGCAACTCTGCTCGGTCTCCAGCTCCTGGAAGCACTGTTCCAGCAGTGGGACACGCCGGAGCCCTTCTCCACTCTCTAAGCCACTCAGAATGTTGCCCATCATCACCAGAAGGTGTTTTGTTGGGAAAGCACAGCTAGGGAAGGGCCAAGGCAGGAATCATCTGTACCTTCCTCCACCACAGCTTCAAAGACCGATCCATGAGCAGCTCTGATCCACAGAACTTCAACGTGTTCCTTGTCTTTAGGGCTGCACTGCTGCTGCAAGGGGACACTGACACCACTGGGGTTCTGCATGGAGCTCACCAGGCTCCAGGCACTGTGCTCAAAGCTGATCAGGGACTTAACAAAGGACCATGACAAGGCATCCAAGCAAGCTTTGCGTGCATCCCCAGCAGGCTCCACATGATGCTGGTGGGAGAGCCCCCACCAGCTCCCACCAGGAGCTCACGTTGGGTGCAGTCTGCCGTAACATCTGATGTGCTCACTTGACTACGGCGGGGTCAGCATGAAATCTGAGCTGCAGATCTGTGGGAGCCTCTTCGCCAGGAATCTGGAGGAGATCATCTCCAGGATGCCACAGGAACCATCTGGTGCAAACTGCGACTGTAACGAGGCTTCTCCTACCAGACATAATGACAGCCTAGCAGTCAGGGAGGAAACCTGCAGAGCCGAATGCTCAGAAAGGATTTCTCTTCCACCCACTAATATGGGTCCTGTGGCTGGATCAAATGATTGACGAGACATAAATCCAAAATCATAAACACTTATTAGAAATCCAAATGCCTTTGTTTTTCTGCTTTGCTGGATGGAGTGGAGCATCAGGCCCAGGATCCCGGCCAAGCCCTGAGTCAACCCTTTCTGCCGCTCCCCATCGCGGCACGCAGCCCCTCGCAGGACACTGCTGCAGCGTGCTGTGAGCACAGCTAAGTGCTCCCCATAGCTGCTCTCACACCCTCAGGACCAGAGGAGGCACAGCTGGTGCCGCCGGGAGCCCCGTGCCCAAACAGACCCAAGGAAACCCCGGCTTCCTGAGCCGGCCCAAGGGGCAGCACGGCTCAGAGCCCCAGCTCAGCCCCCTGCCCGCTGCCTTTCCCTGCTCTGTACTTCTGCTTACTTCTGCTTTTTCTCTCTTCAGACACCGTTTCTGTCTGAGTAGTGTTTTCCTCATCTGCACGCCTGGGTGTCAGCAGAGCTGCAGCATGCCCTCGCAGAGGCTGTGCTGTCCTCCCCTCACCCAACGCGTGGCATTTCCTCCAAGGGCTCCTCTGCTCAACTCCAGCACGAGATGAAACCACACTTCCACAGAACTGATGTTAAGTTCAGAGATATCCACGAAGATTCGTAGTTCTCAAGGCCCAGCGGGACACTTACGCTAATCCAGCCTTGTCATTCTGTACATTTCAGTCCAGAAAACCTCACCCAATAATTTCTGCATCAGATCCATAATTTCCACTGGAGCTATATCTAGTGTCAAAGCAAAGCTTTAAAGGTGGCAGGGAGCCCAGCTCGGACGCTTGGCTCTGAGAGGAGCCATGAAAGTACGGAATATAATCGACTTTAAAGCCTTCTTTCACTGCGAGGGCTGCAATGACCCCCAGCGCCCGGCAGCCCTGCCTTCAGCAGCGACAAGGACAGCCTCAGGACCAGCTGCTGCCGAGCTTGTTGCTACTGACAAGAGACTCATTCTTTGTGAATCCTGAGCCTGTCTAAACTGGGAATAAAAAGAACATCTTAACAGAACTGTGTTTTTTAAAGCACATTTCAAAAACATTTCCTGCTAGCGCTGTTTGAACAGCAGCCACTGCGGAATCGGCAAAACAGGCTGAAGAAGGCAGAGTCTAGAAATTAAAAATAAAAACAATCGGAGTCCAGTCTCCTCAGTAAACATTTGGGAAGCAGGCTGATGTGGTGGGTACAGCAGGGGCACTGAGGACCCCGGGTTTTTCCCAACCACACCTTATGTGCTGCATCACTTGGAGCAAGGCTCGTCAGCTCCGTGCTCGTCGGGTTCCCCGAGCGCCCAAAGGCAATAAAAGCAGCCCTTCCCTCCGTCCGGCTGTGAAAGGCTGCAGGGAGAAGGCTGACAGCAGCGCTGGGTACCGGGTTACGCTGGGTGGGCCTGGAGGGCTGAGAAGGGCCTCGCAGAGCTTCACGCTCCTCATCAGCACCCTCTGGTTGTGCCACACTGGAGGACGATGCCAGGGCTGGAACCGCCGAACTAAAGTGTACAGAAACAGCTTCGCTGAAGACAATACTGGCCTCAGAAAAGAGAAGCAAATTGACCGTGAAATAATAGGGATTTTCAGACTTCAAAGAGGCATAATGAACACCAGAAAGCAGCCTGACGACCCAAGAGATGTGCTGAGGGACTCTGAGCAGCTCTTTGAACCCTGCCCACTGTAACATGCGGATGGATCTCATTACCCCAAACCCACGCTGAGTGTTTTGTCTCACATAGCCCCACCAAAGCCCATTCCTTAGCAGCCAGATGCAAACTGTCCTTAACCGAGCAACTATCTTTCCTCATGCAGATGCTCACCACCACCATCCCCGAGTTCTCCCATCCTCTGGGCCACGTGTCTCATTGCTTTAGAGCTGTCCCACTACCACAAGTTGCATTGGAATATTCCTGAACCTCCAGGTCAACTCTGCCGCTGCAAAAACAGCTCCTGATCCCATCCAGCCTGTGTCACACGAGATTTCATTTCCTACCACAGCAACAGTACCATCTTTGTGTCAAAACGCCAGGACACAAACAAGCAGGTTTTACAGGACAAACCTCCAAGGGTGGCCACCCCACTGGCATTTCTCCCCACACGAAGAACTGCCAAATATTCCCAGTTTGGATGGAGCTTTAAAAGATCCCAAAAATATCAGGTGCCCAAAGCACTGGCTTTGTGTTGTTGCACGCAATGGCTTTGCCTCAGGAGGAGACCAATGCAAAAATGGCAACCCAGTTTGCCTGGGCCAGAAGGTGGCCACTGAAAACTGCCACTGCTGTATGAGCTGCTCCTCACCACTGGGGTTAAACCTGCCTCTCTCCTTTCCAGGCTCATATGAAATCTCAGGGCTTGCAAATATTTCCCTGGCCCTGCCAGCATTTCAGAAACACTGCCCAGTGGCAACAGCAATGGTGGGCACAGTTGGTGTTTTACTGACAGCCTGATGAAAGGTCTTTGCAGTGTAATTAACTCCACCCCTTGTGCTGGGGTGCCGATGCATTTAGGAAAAGTGGAACTAAAAGGAAAAGGAGAGAGGGACCACACAGAGACAGAGGCCCTGCAAAGGAGGAAGAATGCTGGGCTGGGGGAATCCAAATGCTCAAAGCTGTGAGAGAAGGAGACTGTCCAAAATGCTAGGTGCAGAGGCAACATCCACACAGCCCCAGGGAGCTCAGCCCGCACTGGGGACATGGCTGGCAGTCTGGGATCTCATTGCTTTCATTCCATATACAAAGTCATCATTTTACATGTTCTCACAGCACGCTCCCATAGCTTTGCAGCTTTGAAGCAACCTACCTGCCAGCTCACTGAACCACCCGGGGGCTTCAGGCTTGCAGGGTGCACACGGCATGGCCGGGGCAGCGGTGAGGGCAGGGTGAGTTACATGGAAGAAGCCAAGAGCATCGTGCAGCAGTCACTGGGATCAGAGAGAAGGGAAGGGTGGATGGGAGAGGGGGTGGACATCAACTGGAGCCAAACTGGCTGTGTATCAATGGGTGGAGGCCACGCTACAGTGGAAGAAAACCATCAGATGGAAGGAGGTGCACCCACCACCACCTCATCCAGCTCTACAAACAGGCCAGGTCCTCGTCCTCAGCAAAAAGTATCCTTCGAGCACATAAAATAAAAGCAGTAAGTCAGGTCTGAACTCAGCGCCAAATGCCACTGCGACTGATGGGTTACCTGCACACTGCTGAAAGGCAGGGATTTCTCTGGGACTGCCTGGAGACGGAGCACCTGCACCCCATCTGTTGCCCATCCACCTGGCTCTTCAGACACTGCTCCACACCAGGGAACGTCGCAGAGCATCACCTGCACCTCCTCCCACCAGCACCCAGTGCCAGGGAGAGACAGAAGCTCAGTTGTAAATGTCAATGTCCCCAGGGCACCTCCCCACGCTGTCTGAGCCCCTTTTCCAG